AGGTCCCGTTGCTATGAGCTGATTTCTCATACAAAAGCTAGCAAAGGCTAAACAGAACCTTGGCTGCAATACATTCTTCTCAAATACACCCGATGAGCTCAGTTTTGTTGCTGTCAGCCCATAAAACTGACTTTTATACTGAGTCACCAAGAGGATACAGATGACAAACAGCTCCATTACAGAAGGCTGACAATACTTGCCTTGAGAAGCAGCAGTGAGATGATGATAGTGGCAATGCTCACTTCATCTCTGCATAAAATACAGTTGACACTTCCACTACACTGCTACACATCTACACTGTGATGCCTCCACAGTCAGTCTTAGTCTTGATTTTAATTACATCCCCCAAAGACCAGTGCTGTGGCATGAAATGCCCTGAATTCCCAAAAACTTTTTTTAGTAATGAATCCTCAGCATAAGATGTCACCAAGGAAAACTGCTCCAGTATGAAGTCACTACAGCCACATGCTTGTAAATGGGGGGAGAGGGGCTTGGGAGGGTGGATGGAGAAATAAATATACTGGTGCTATCCTAAAACACGTGCAAAACCCTATACTCTGAACTAAAAAGAAGCAAACAAAGCAAAACAAAGAAGCCTACCCTGATTCTCGGGGAAGCTCCAGATAAATAATCAACACAGTCCAACAACTAGCTGCAAATTGCTTTTTAACTACATAGAAAAAGATGGCATAACAAACATTTTTGGAAATCCAAAGAGCGACTGTGCTCTCCCATCAGCATTGCCTATCAGTTCAGCAGCTGGCACTCCCACTGTCAGCTACCCTGCCCATGGCTTTTGAACTTGGGCATGACCCCGGGGATGAGGCTTGGCACTTAAGGGCTCAGGTTGGAAGGCAGTCGAGAAAGAGGTGCTGACACTTTGAAAACCAGCAATGAACGGTCAAATTATGGGAGCAGAAATAACACAGATGGTGGGTGAGACTTAACACTACACTGGAACATCAAAACCAGGGTGAAACACTGCATTTTCTAAAGGCTTTCTACAATTTAGGCAACAGTCAGGTACTTTGGTAAAAGCATTCAAACTCATCAGTAAAGTACAGTCTGACCTCCATATGTGCTGTACATATCCCACAGGCCCCAGTGGTGTTTGGGATAGCATCATACACAGAAAATAAGTGACCTCTGGGGAAGGTACTTGAACATGAACAGAAGGGCCTGCCTTCAAAACATGAATGTTTGACTGTTTAAGCCTTACCATTTCCTACTATCCTGTTATCAGCCAGATTTCCTATCGTTAGGGAAAACTAGAAGCTCTATCTGAGGGAGCTTTCTGCAGCTCGGCCGTGGCAGGTCCCATGCAGGCAGTGACCCTCTGGTGCCATATATCTGTATGCATGGTTCTACAGGAAGGTTTTTGTGCCTGCACCATACACATCTAAAGCCTACAGGTAAATATTCCCCACTTGATGCCAAATTCACATAGGCATAATAAGCATACCCAGGGTGAACACTGTCAGACAGATTAAGGTGTCATATGAATCGGGATGTATGGAGAATTCTCTTAATTTCAAATGGAAACAAGATTTTAGTCAACTTCAGACTTTCACTGCTAATAATAGTCTTCTTTCAGTATTTTGAACATATAAAAAAGATAAAGACTGCAGTGAGAAACTTTCTCAGATCTGATTGATTCAAAGCGGGGTGAGTTAAGCAAACCTCAGAGATGGCTTTCTTTGCATAGTAATAGAGCTTTCATAAACAAGCTTGGAAACCTACTTCATATTTCTTACACGTCTACAGTATATCAAAACTTGACACATCAGTGAAGACAACTACATTTGTGCCCTAACATCAAGATGGTTTAAGACCAAGAAGATGGAGGTGAGTTTCAAAAGACATTACCATCTATTTGCCCTTCCAAATAGCCATAATGTGAGGTAAATTGAAAAGCAATATGGAGATTAACAGAATTATTGTTTCCAAATCTCTAATCTTCAACTACCCTTTGGTAAGATGACTTGTTTTATTTAGGATATAGATAGTGGTCTTTTAGAAGACAAATAAGTTTTGAATTCTGTCGTAGGCTTGAAAAGAGATGCTGGAATTTTCTTTTTCTTCCCTATCCCGTTTCTTCCAGGATGGGGGGAGTCAGGGAGGAGGTGGGGGCAGAGCAGGGAGATGGGGAGCTCTGGTGGGAAAGCACAGTGGCCGCAGGGACAGCTGGGGAGGAGTCCTTTGCTTGGGGGCTTTTGGGGTTTGGTCTGGGACCAGACAGAGCAGGAGCCCGGCTTTTGGCCGCCTCATTCTCTTTTCCTGAGAGGAAGTTTTTTTCCTCACGGAGAACGACCAAGAGAGAGAGACCGACCCATTTTAGAGGGAGGTATTCTGCTTTCAAGGCTGCCTTGAAACCCCCGGGTTGCCGTGGGTTTCTCCCCCTCCTCCCCACCTGGGGAACTGGGATTTTGTTTTGTTTCTTCTGAAAGTTTTTGATTGCGCCATTTGTTGTTTATTCAGATTTTGTTAATAAAAAG